CTCCAAAATGTAACCAACAAAACTTAAAGCTTTAAAACATCTGTGTCTACATCCACATACACGCAGCAGGTTGACGAGTTTCCCTGTAGCTCAGACGTGTGTCAAGTTTACAGGAGAGTTGAAGTTGTCATTCCAGCTGAAGAAATGGGTCGTTACTTTTTCTTCTCCTTTAAAACATTGACAGCTTTACAACAAAACCTGCCACGAGACACACTTTCTGCCGCAGGCTGTTGAAGCGCTCCACCATTGACAAATATTGCATCAGTTCCTCTCCGCTGATGTAAAACAAAAACAAGCCGAAGTGTATTTGCTGCAGACGGATCCGCTGCAAAGCTTCTCAATAGGAGCAGCTTTCTCCCGTTGTTTTTTTACAGCTAAGAAAAGAAAACCAGTATAATTTAAATACATAAATGGATCAGTCTGGGGTTAGTGTTCTCTAAGACATGTTCTGAAGGATGTAAACAAAGATATGAAAAACAGGGAAGCAGTTATTTCTGTATTTTGTCAGTGATGAACTTCTTCCTCCTCTTTGTGTGAATCATCCAAAATCAGTTGCTCATTAACCAGAACTCAGGCCTCTATCGTACAAATGTAGGAGTTGGAATCATCGGCATATCATGAGCTACAAACGTGTAAACAGTGAATTCTTAATAAATGAACTAGAAAGTGCATCAGTCTGAACAAATAGAACAGCTCAGAATGATCAGGTGTGCATTTCCAAACAGGTTTTGTAATCAGGACAGTCAGAGCTCAGCCATGTAGATTTTTTATTTCCCAGCAGTGACACACCTCAACAGAAGCCTGAAGATGTCTGAGGATTGTTTCCTGTGTGGACTAAAAGGCAGACATTTTACCCAAACCACAGGATACCTGCAAGAGAAAAATACATCGTTAAAATACAGAAAGTCCTTTTCTTCTCCAAGCAGCAAAACCTTGGATTGATTCTTTGAAACAGACAGAAAAATGCATGTTTTCCTCTCAGAGTGGAGTTTTGTTAGTTTTACAGTAACAGTTGTACCAGCGTGGATCAGCGGGATAGAGGTGGAGCGAGTGGAGAGCTTCAGATACCTGGGTGTCAACATCGCCTGACGTGGTCCTGTCACATCAGCACCCTGGTGAAGAAAGCTTGACAGCATCTCTACCTGCTCAGACGCCTGAGGGGCTTTAAGCTTCCTCTCAAGGTGCTCAGGAGCTTCTACACCTGCATCATTGAGAGTGTTTTGGCTGGAAGCATCACCAACGGGATGGGCAGCAGCATCCAGCAGGACTTCTTGGCCCTGAGGAGGGTGGTCCGCTCGGCTCAGAACCACCCTCCTCAACCTGCAGGACATTTACACCAAACGATGCAGGTTAAAGGCAGGAAGCTTGTGAGTGAGCCCACCCACCCCAGCCTCAGACC